TTGTATCTAAACAACATAAGAACAAAACAACATAAGGAAAAATGAAAAATAAAATTTATCAAACCAAAACAATATCAAATAACATCAATGAACAACACCATCACACTTATCACTGTATATTCTCATCTAAAGCCTACATTGATATTTAAACTGAAACATTAGAAGCCTCTGTAGATCCAAAGATATCAGTGGGAGTGGGAAGAAGAAAAAGGCTGATGTCGGTGCAAATGAAGTTATTGGATTTAGGACAATTTATGGGATATGTGATGCATATATAACAGTTGTGGAGTAATAGTTTCTACATATAGAAGATAAATTGTTTTGTAACCGTCATAGAAGTAGCAGAATGTCTGACTAATATGGAGTGAGTTTTCTTATATGATAGATATACAATAATAAGAAGAGACACTATAAATAATTTTTCTTTGGAATTATTTACAAAAATATTTAATTCAATAATAAATTTTTTCATATAATTATTTAATATTTAATTAAATGTGTTTATATCAATATCATATGCGCGTACCATATAAGCACCTTTGTGTATTCGTACTATATTATTTCGTATTTTGATGGAATTGACCCCAATAAAGTTTTATTTTAATATTTCAATTATTTTATATTATATATAGATAAATATATATTGATCATTGATTAATTTGTCCATTAAAATTTAAATTTTATAAATGACAAACAAATTGTATGACTAATAAAAATATCATACAATTTTAATACTATTTATTCATACATTACTTATGTTTCATTCTATTAGCATTTTTATTGAAGTTCATTTAATTCATTTAAATTGTATGTTTATTTTGTACCAAAAATATTGTTTGATGATTTATTTAATTATATAAATTGATTAACCACAATAAAATGTGTGATTCTTCTATCCACACATAGATTAAAACTCTACACACTATTGTATCTATAATAATAAACTAGCTTGTTTTCGTTTATAAATATATAACTATTTTATGTGATTCTCATATTTAATATGTAATTGTACTTTAATTAATACATTACTAAACTTTATTTATATATATATATATATATATATATATATATATATATATATATATATATATATATATATATATATATATATATATATATATATATATATATATATATATATATATATATATATATATATATATATTATATATATATATATATATATATATATATTATATATATATATATATATATATATATATATATATATATATATATATATATATATATATTTTCTCAAATATTTAATTGTGCAAGCATTGTTTTAACTGTATAAATTTGAATTAGTAATATAAAATATATTAATCTAATTGATATATTAATCTTCATAAAAGATATAACCTATCCAAATTTCTATTCATTGACGTATTAAAATAAATCGTTTTTATTATAGAAAATTAAAATTCATAATTAGTTGTTTATGAAAATATAACATATAATAATAAGTTATTTGCATTCTTTTCTTCATTGACTCGTAAAATCATCAATATATAACAGTTTTAATATGTTTCAATAAGTAACTTTTATTTCATATTTAGATTAACAATAAGCATCACCTTTTATTTTTATCTTATTTTGGTCATTACTATATTTTTTCCGTATATGTAAGATATTGTAATTTTTTCCCGTATAAGTATTTATTTATTTTAAATGTTTTGAAAAATCAATTTTATAATATTTATCAATTTTTGTGTTTAATGTAAAATAATAATTACCTTATAAATAACTCTAAACGATTGAAATAGAAAATTGTATTTTAGTCTCTCTTCTTTATAATTAATAACATATAAGCAATACCTTTTAAAATACCCTTTTATTTATTTAAAATTATATTTGAGATTTTTTATTTTATATTTTATTTATTTAAAGTAACCTTTTAGTATAATCTATTTATGTTAACATTTTTATAAAAAAATATTGTAACCTCAAAATCATAATTGACTTCTCCTAAAGAAAATCATAATTTAGCAACTTTTGATTTTTGATGAATCTTTGAGTTTTTCTTGATGAATCATGATCACCCTTGATCAAATGATGAATGTGACCTCAAAATCTTGATGTTGACCAAAAATCTTGAAGTTTGACTGTATGTTGACCATAATTGACTTTTTGTCCAATACAATTGATTTTTAATCATCTGAGTAGTTGACTAAGTAAATTTTTGATGTAAGGCTTGAAACTTGACACGAGGATACCTTGAAGTACATAAGAAACCATGAATCTCCTTGAGGCATTAGAAGTCTAATTTTCTTTGAGAAACACAAACCCTAGTTGTAGACCACTACTTAGGAGGATGATTCATCTAATCAATCTTGAGTAGTTTTGAGCACTTGAGAAACCCTAGGAGCATGAGAAGATATCTTGAAATGGGAGAGTAAATTTTAGGGTACAACATCTAACTACTGTGATCTTCTTGTAATATTTTTGTTGCAGAACTTTTGGGAATATTTGTTGATTAACTCGCCTCACGAACTATCTTGTTTTCCTCACAAGCCTCTTATCATGAATCCTTAAACGATTTAAATTTAGCTCGATACATCTTATATGATTCCACATAGCGGGTTAGTTTGATCAACCAAAGTACATTTTCATACAAAAGTATGAGAAAAGGGTAATAGATAATATTATTTTACTAAAAACCTAATAAATCAAATATATATAACAAATTGGATTTAATAACATATTTTTTTTTGTAAAACACGTCAACAAGTGCCCTATTTGTATTATGGAAAACCACTCCTTTTAAGCACTCATCAAATGTGCAACTACATAATCTTGGATAGCAGACGATTGACGTCGAAAGAATAAGTATGGTTATCTGACATATAAGCTTAAACGATACACTTAACATATATAAACTGTTTTTAGTAATGTTGAGACCACTTTTTAGGACACCCACACTAAATGAACTTTGCTATATGCCAAACAAAAAAATAAGATGGGGAAGGACATTAGTCTTAACCACATTTTCATACCATGAAAGGAGACATTCGTTATAAGAAGAAATATTTAGTCTTTAAATGATTTATACCTGTGATAATAGAAACATAATAGAAGTATAGGTTTATCGTTGTAAGGAGCATCTATAAAAATAATATAATTATTTATATTTTCAACAAAAACTAAATCAATTACTTTTCTATATGTTTAACTAATCAATAGAAAAAGAAATAAAATTAGTATTAACAACATGATATCTCATGATATTGTTATTTTCGACGTGGTCTTCTTGAGACGTATTGACATTGTTATATTTGTAGAATTACTATTATGTTTTCATTACAATTTACAATTATTTCGTCTATTTACATATATTTCTCTTTGTTCACATAGTATCTCATTTTGCATTATTTGTTGTTAGATATATTAATGTTCAAAGTTTTTTGTTGGTCAATCATTAATGTTGTTATCGCTTATTTGTGGAGACTCTGAGAATAATGTGCTGGTTAATATTGAACATGTATGCTTTAACTATTAAGTGCAATATATCTGACCACGACAAATTCTCATCGGCTGAATTGTTACCATCGAGTAAAATATTTCTTTCTTTTGACTGCAAAACATTCATGTTCTTTAGAAAGGGAAAATGGCCGTCTCTTTGAAATCTTGGGGAGTGATTTGAGATCGCTCATGCAAGTTTATTACTTGGATTATATGATATTTCTCCATCTAGATCTATTACTGTCGATGTGCACTAGATACTTTTTACGCACAACATCTGTTACAGTGGCGTGCTCTAGATATCTTTTACATGTGATACCTTTTACACACTTTAGGAGGAGCATTTATTATAAAGATGTGTGTATTTTTATTTTTGATTTTAGTTGTATTATATGTGTCGATCTAATTGTTCTCAAGTTTAATTCTATTCATGTAATTTGATAACGAATGAATGAATTGATTCATATTTTGAGTTGATTTGGGGTCTCGTCTCATTCTATGTAGTATCTTTGCGTATTCGCTTCTTTATTTTAATGTATTACATGTCTTAACTACTTTTGGTAAGAGCCTTATAATACTCAATCCATTTCGTTAGGCGTAAGTTTGACGTAGATCAACTTATTTTCAGGAGAACTCAACATATAAATAGTCTCAGTCGTTTCCTTTATGTGAGATTTTTGCCGTTCTCAGTTTCCTCATTGAAAATAATTCTAACACATATACACTCCTTTTCAAAAGAGTCCAACATATAAACGATCTTGTTAAAAAAATTAACACATTACTTCTATTAATATTCATTTAACTAATTACTTCTTAAGAAATTATACACACAATCTAAATAACATATTTTTTACTAAATAAAACAGAGTATATAATCTCGTCAAGATGGACGTGACAATTTTCAAAGAGCAAGGATATTACACAGTGAGAATGTGTCTCAGAAGACAATATGAAGAACATATAAAAGCTAAGACGATTTGTTATCAAAGATCACCTCAATCTCACAAGACAGAAGCGAGAGGTTTAAAATAAACAATAAAATAGTTAGAAAATATGTGATTATCCAACATGTCTATCAAATTTGATTATAAATAAGTGATTGACGACATCATAAAAGACTCAACAACAATACCATTTTAACGCCATAATTGAAATCTACAAAGTTTCTCTATGTATTTATCGGAACTTGACAAGTTGACAAGTTTAATTAAAAGATATAAATAAATAATGTTGCCCATTTGTTAGCACGAGCATCATTATCTGACGCTAGCTCACAAAATAATAATCTTATGCTATCTTGTATGGATAATATTATCAATGAAATGAGTTAATTCTATTGATGTAAAAAAAATCTCGTCACGACATAAACGACGTCGTTTTCGTGGAAATTCGGCTCATTGTTCACCCTCTTGCAACGCATTACGAAGTTTTTCAACTTCCGTGGTTTCTTTCTAGTCTAGAAAATAGAGATTTTACCATAGCAACATTCAAAAAACCAGTAAGCTTCGCTTCAGTTTGGATACACAGCTTCAAACATCATGAGAACTCGAAACGCGGATTCGTCTTCCAAACCCGTAACCCCTAAGAAGCCACCGCCGGCGAAAAAACCCGCCGGAGAATCTTTCGTCGCAAAGCGCACGCCTCCATCCAAAACCAGAAACGCCAAGAAGGCGGATGCATCACCCGCAACCGAACCTTTACCTGATTCCAATCCGGATCAATCTGGTAAGCTCTTTTTCCCCTTTTTGTTAGGTTAAAATTTGGTTTCTATTTCTCTAAATATTCATTGATTTTGATTGGACCTTAGATAGACCTAAAATTTCTACATGATAGGTGTAAGCTGATAGGACTATAGAGTATTGTTTATTGTTTTTTTTTTTTGTTTTAGTATATTTTACTTGATTGTTGTAACAGAGCAGCAAAAATCGATAGCTAGTGCTACTACCGCTACGAAATCTGCGAAGAGGAAAACACCGGGTAAAACGAGGACAACGGTTGTTGTCAATACTCCAAATTTGGAAGAGCAATTGGAGGCTGAAGTTGGTGAAGCGGCAGAGAAAGTGGTAGAAGCTGGAAATGTTAGCGACATTGGTGCAGATGGGAGGGAACTAAAGGCCATGGAAATGGATGAACCTGTTGTTGTGAAAGTTTGTGAGTTGGGTGAAAAGGGGAAGAACGTGGAAGATAGTGAAGCCATTGTTTCTCAAGAGGCTCCTCTTTCTTTTAATCAGCTAGGATGCACTGTCATGGATCTTAATATATCTGTGGCTGATAATGAAGATTATACTGCTGCAAAGGAAGGAGAGGAAGCGTTGAAAGAAGAAGAATTGAATGTAGCAGAGGAAGAGAGAGATAAGGAAGAGTTGAAAGCACGCGAAGGAAAAAAGGGAAAGGATGAGCTGAACGATCTAGGAGAGAAAGGAAAAGAAGAGTTGAACCAACAAAAAAGAGAGAAAGAAATTTTCGAGTTTAAAATACAGGAAGGTGAGAAAGGAAAGGAAGAGCTGAAAGAACAGGAAGTAGAGAAAGGAAAAGAAGAGTTGAAGGAGCACGAAGAAGAGAAGGGAAACGAAATGTTAAAAGAACCGGTACGAGAGAAGGAAAAAGAAGAGTTTAAAGAACATGAAGCACAAAAAGGAAATGAAGAGTTTAATGATGAGAAATTAGAAAAAGCAAAAGGAGAGGAAACAAACATTATTGGACATGAAGAGCACTCTAGTGTAGAAGTTCAAGCCCAACCGCAAAAAGAATTTGATCCTGAAAATTATGGTGTTGAAGGGCCAAAGAGTGGTGAGTTGATAGATCTTGAAGAACAAGGGAGGGTGGAGCTTGAGGAGGAAGATCTAGAGGAAGATCCAGAGGAAGATCCAGAAGAAGATCCAGAGGAACCGTCCGAAGAAACCGAGACATTGGATGAAGAGCATATCGATTTTGAAGCCATTGCAAAGCAACGAAAGATTAGGAAAGAGCATGAGATATTTGTTGGTGGGTTGGATCGTGATGCTACTGAGGAAGATCTGAGAAAGGTTTTTCAGAGGATTGGGGAGGTAGTGGAAGTTAGGATGCATAAAAATTCGGCAACAAATAAAAATAAGGGCTATGCTTTTGTGAAGTTTGCCATTAAGGAGCACGCAAAAAAAGCTTTGTCTGAAATGAAGAACCCTGTTGTATGCTTCTGTTCTTCTTATTTTTAATTTCCTTGGTGTTGTGCTCCCAAGTCCCTGCATTGTTGTTTGACCTCCCATGTTTTTTCAGATAAAGGGAAAACGGTGTGGCACCGCACCTAGTGAGGATAATGACACATTATTCTTGGGAAATATTTCCAATAAATGGACAAAAGAAATTGTAAGCGTCTAGCATTTTTTCCCTTCTTTTTCTATTGCTTATATTTACTAGCATGGTTTGTTATCTCATGTGTTTTTAATGTACGTGTTACAGATTAAACAGAAGCTGAAGGACTATGGTGTCGAAGGGGTTGAAAACATTACACTCGTACCAGATGTTCAACATGAAGGCTTGAGCCGGGGCTTTGCATTCCTTGAGTTTTTTTGTCATGCTGATGCCATGCTTGCATACAAGAGACTTCAAAAGCCCGATGTCATATTTGGTCATGCTGAGCGAACTGCTAAGGTAGCCTTTGCCGAACCGGTACGTGAACCAGACCCAGAGATAATGGCACAAGTGAAGTCTGTGTTTATTAACGGCCTCCCTCTTCACTGGGAGGAAGATCATGTGAGGGAGCGGTTGAAATCTTACGGTGAAATTGTAAAAATTGTTTTGGCGAGAAATATATCTACAGCTAAGAGAAAGGATTATGGATTTGTGGATTTTTCTACACATGAAGCTGCTTTAGCTTGTGTTGACGGTGTAAATAAATCAGAATTGGGAGACGGGGCATCAAAGGTATATAATCTTTTGCCTTCACCGGGGTTTTACATTTTCAAAGAATTACTCTCTTGTTTCCTTTGCTTATTTTGAAGAAATTTCAGTAATATGGGACAGTAATTTTAATTGCCTTTTAATTTTTTTTATAGAAGATTGAAAAGGAATTCCTACTTAATTTTTCTCATTCTTTCCCTCTTTCCCATCTGTCTTCTCTGAAAGCTTGATTTCTGTCACCTAACAGTATTTTGGTTAATTTTTGTATCCTAGTAACAAATTTTCTTTTGTTTTGACCTGATCTGGTTGGCTAATTCTTTTGTTAAGAGCACATAAATTTTGCCATGTTTTTCAGATAAAAGTGAGAGCTAGGCTTTCAAACCCTTTCCCTAAAATGCAGGCTGTCAAGGGTGACATGTGTGGTGGCCTCCGCATTGGCCAGGCTAGGAGTGAAGCTTACCCAAGATCAGGTAAATAGCTTTTTCTCCTTCCATTAAGTTGAAACCTTATGTTTGTGACATCATTTTGAATACACAATATCTACAGAAATAGGTTTTGGGCGAGGGCGAGGAAGACATCCCTTCAATAACAGGGGAAATTTCAATAGGGGCAGGAGTTTTTATCATCACGGGGGGCGCAGTCAAATTGGAAGGGGTTTTTGGGACGACCCTGATTTTAGTATGCATCCGGATTTCCATCAGCGGCAATTCGGTCCACAAGGTTGCCTGTTAAGCTTCTAGCTATATTTATAGTTGAAGTCTCTTACAAATTACAATATATAAAGGCATTGATGTGTTTTTTATGATCTTAATATTTTACTAAAATGTCTAGCAGGAGCTATGGGGGGTGGACATTATGCAGGTAGTCTAGGTGGTGCTCCATTTGCTGGTCCATCTAGACATTATTATGATAGAGAATGGTATGGTTTCCCTGATGGAGGCCCCGGTGAGCCGATTCTTCCAAGAAGGCCATACTCTCCAGGTGGACGGTTTTATGGCATCCCTGACGGAGGTCCTGGTGAGCCTATTCCTCCAAGAAGGCCATACTCTCCAGGTGGACGGTTTTATGGTATCCCTGATGGAGGCCCTGGTGAGCCTATTCCTCCAAGAAGGTCACACTCTCCAGGTGGACGGTTTTATGGTATCCCTGATGGAGGCCTTGGTGAGCCTATTCCTCCAAGGCCATACTCTCCAGGTGGACGGTTTTATGGTATCCCTGATGGAGGCCCTGGTGAGTCTATTCCTCCACGAAGGCCATACTCTCCAGGTGGACAGTTTTATGGTATACCTGATAGAGGCCCTGGTGAACCTATTCCTCCAAGAAGGCCTTATTCTCCAGGGGGACAGTTTGACGTGCCTTTTATGGGAAGGCATGTTGATGATCCATATCTATACGAGGACAATATGCGTGGAATAAAACGGCCATTTTATATGACCGTAAGTTTTTTTTTACTTAAGCATATGATATGGTTTTATTGCCATACAAATTTGTTTTAACTCTAAAGACACCTGGAAAATACTAATTAGTTTTAGTTTTTCTTCTGTTTTTTTAGGACCCTGAACCTGATTACATGGGGCCTAATAGACTTCGCCCACGATTTGATTATGCAGATCCATCTATATTTCACGGAGCTCGATACCATGGTCTAAACTTTACTTCCTTTTTCTTTCCTACTTGTCAATTGTATGGGTGTATATTCTTGATAACACTTTTTGATGTATAGATTATGCCGGTGCTGGCAGCAGGCAGTACCCTAATGACTATTATGGTTCTCATGTGAGTGAACATTTTTGAACTTATTTTTATCTCACGTTATATAATTTTATCATTAGTGATGTGTTATGATATTAAAGTTGCAGCATGGAAGAGGTCCACACTCATCTTTTTATGGGGGCGATGGTCTACATGAAGACAGATACTATTATTAGCGCGATGAACCTTTTGGTAAGGATCGTTTTCATGAATTTAAATTTAAATTTGCTGCAGTGGATTGTTTTTTTCCTAATGTTTTGTGGCACTTCAATCATGTTTAGGTGGATCTGGAACAAGCAGATCAGCATCTTCAATTATGAGCACTCGGCCTCTCGATTATCTAATTTTGAAGTTGCATTTTTCATTTTATATGCATTTCTACCTTATTCTTAGTCCATCTGTTTTGTTTCTATTTATCTATTAGATCATATAGGTGGTATAGACTTGGTTATTTAATCAGTGTGGGATAGGTTGTCTCCCAGGTCTTGGAGGAGAAGGTATATTTACAAGATTTATATGGAATGGACTAGATTTCCTTCACGGACTTAGGTATGATATGATCTGGGACTTGATTATGAGGATGCTTTATTAATGTACAATATACTTTATGATCAATCGAGTACAACTTTGATGATTGGAAACTGGAAAGTTTATAGGACTACGATAAGCAAAATCTTTCAGGTGATAGATTTATAATTTAAGTGATAGGTAAGGTCCGATAATTGAATATTCATATGGTGTGGCTCTTGCAGTTCTTATGAGGTTCTGGAGAATTTGCTTACAGATCTATCCTTACCATATATTTGGAGTCCTTTTGATTGGGTAGGATCCTTTTGAATAGTTTTTGTCCATACCAAAGCATCCTTTTTTATGGAAAACTATTTGTTTATTGAATTTCTGGCAGATAAGATTGGCCTTGGATGGAATGATGTTCATGGATGCTGTTTTAGTTATGGAGAAAACAGTATATTTGATTGATTTTTAGTTCCATATAATGCCAAGTAATGGTTAATTTGTGTTTACCTGAGGAAATCTCCATTTTTTTCTACTCTGATATAACCATTGGCATTGATTAAGAATGAAATCACTTGGTGTGGAGTGAGAATGTCTGTTGGTGTAGGCATCTAAGGATGTATGGACCTTACTGTTTTATTTGTCATTGGAATTGCATCTAAGGATGTATGGACCTTACTGTTTTAATTGTCATTGGAATTGATTTTGGATGGTTCCGTGAAGCATATAGAACATCCAAACAAATGATCTGTGGAAAAAATGTTTATTCATCGTGTTTAAGATTACTAGATTGTTCACTTTGTGTGTTTATTTTAGAATTTTTTTGTAGTGAATAGGTAGCTGGTTGTTCAACCTGATAGGAGTAGTAAGGACTAGGGCCTGCTTCTTGATTATTTAATGACTGTCATACAGGAAATGGATTCTCTACTTTGTCGACTTCAGTGTATTTTAAGAGAAAAATTGGATGAGAATTTTCGGTTAAGAGAGAATTTTCGGTTGTAGATGTTTAGTGACACGGGCTTTAGCTAGTTATACATTTTATTCTGATTTCTCACTTCTAGGATTTTCTTCAAGTGCCATAAATTGCTCCTCTCTAGTTTTAGAATAGGCAAGCTATGTAATTTTTTCAAGATAGTTAGCATTCCTTTCTTTTAGCTTTTATTTTTCAATCATGATATATGTTTGTGATGTTATCAAATTGTGTAGTGCCGAGCTTTTGATAAAGTCAAGGTGATGCTGCTGTATTGAATAATGTCCTGATTCCTCAATATAAGATATGCATATTGAACACATTTTTACTATCTTCCTCATCTGTGCATAATAGCTAAAAGATATCAATCTCGTGGGCAAGAATTATTTTTCTTGTCCTTTAGTATAAATCAATTTTTAACGGTTTAAATAAAGCAAATTATAGGGTACGGATGGAAAACAAATGGTCCACATAGGACCATTGTTGATAATCACATTAAATTTTATAAACAGTTTTAAGATATTTTATTATCCAGTAATTCCACTTTACATTGCCACTTGCGAGAGAGCCATTGTAAACCAAGACCTTTGATTGCTATTTTCATTAGAAGAATATAGCCGAGAGTGGACATAAATCATTGGTTCCTTTTGGAAGTGATTTGAAGGGCTCATTCTTTCGGTGAAATTTTGCAAGGCTTTTTAAGAAGAATCAAAATTTGCATAGATGAAAAGGGATATTAAATTTATTTCCTGTAATTTGGATATGGAATCAAAAGTCCTATTGATTGTGTGTACAAACACAATAACTGAACTAATTTTTTAATTTTTTAAGTTTTTTGTTCGAGTTTGAGAAAATATGAAATAGAATGTTGAGCAAAACTTAAATGTTCATGTTATGTCAAGTTCATGTTCGATCGTCAAGTTCCTTTCGAAACAGATGACTCAATGATCCTTTTGAAGATGGACATTAAAGATTTTTAAGAGTTTATAAAAAATGAAAGAGGTGAATTATATTATTTCAGTTGTTTGTATACATGTTTTTTAGGCTGCAAAATTATATGTATGTTTGATTTCATGTTTGAAGTACTCATAATTGATTTTAAATGCGTAGAATTGATTTTAACACTTGCTCTCGAATATATTTGATTATGTTTTTTAAAATTGGTTTTACTTGAAATTAAGATGTGTAGTTTTTGAATAAAAATGTGATTTTTAGTTTGAAATTTACTATTCAACTCACTTTTGCATAATTTATTAAAATATAAATTACTTTACTTTTCATTCAGTGCTATGATAAATTTTACAAAATCAATCTACTCAATTAATTTTCTTCATTGCAAAACCAATTACAAACAAAATAAACATTGAGTACTAGAAAGTACTGCAAATAGTTAAACATATTCACAACTATAGTTGCAGCAAACACTCTTAAAGTGGTATAACACTCTTAAAGTGGTATAAATCCAACATGGCCACATAGTAATCCGAATGGCAGGCTATTCTAGGAGGATTTAACCTGATATTTTCCAATACCTGACACCCTCTATTTTGAGGTCTTTAATCATTGTACCCTAAGTTAAATATCAAAATTTTCAAAAGAATATTGAGGTGTACCAAAAATTTGGACTATTCACTGAAAATTTATAAAAAATTATATTTTTTACAGTTACAAAGGTGAAGTTTTCCACATTTTGAAATTTCTGATTAATATATATATATATATATATATATATATATATATATATATATATATATATATATATATATATATATATATATATATATATATATATATATATATATATATTACAATTTCTGAAAATTTTGATAAATAATTATATGTATTAAAATTTTTCAGAAATATGAAATTTCCGATAGTTAGTGAAGTAAAATTTTTAATTTATTTCTGCATTAATTTTTCTGCATAAAAATTGTGCTACATATTAGAATATAAAATAAATTAGAATGACTTCCTAACTTCGTCTTTTTCGTGTCTAATGCATCCTGTATATGTTGATTCCCAAACTTTTGCATCTTCAGTACAATTTTGTCTTCAACGGTCAATAACGGGAGATAATGGACAATTAGGTTTCAACTTTACATGAATTTAATAATTATTATTGATAAAACCAACAACAATGATTTTATGTCTGATTATATAAATAAGTGACGTTAAGGCAAAACAGAAAATGTGATGTTAAGTTTTTTTTTAAAAATAGAGACAAATACGACACTGTATCTACAAGTAATTGGTAACCCATATCGGAAATCATCATCTATTTATCCATACCCTACAATCCAAGAATCATACTCGTAAAATATTCCTAACTATAGAGACCATGTCATATAACAAATTGGAAAATAATTGAGAGTTTTAACAAACTTGAGTATTTAACTTCGTTCGAATCAAAAGTCATGACTCTTCGTCCCATCCAAGTAGAGCTGTAATAGCACGGAAATCACAATTTTCATCTTTACCAACATCAATAATGTCATCAATATACGTATGTAAGAAATTAGGAAATCGGGACAAGCAAACATGTCTTGAAGATTCGGTGAATGATTGACTGTCAACCGACATACTAGATAGTTGACTTCCAGTTGGTTTTGTGCATATGATCTCTTCATAGTATGACTCTCATGCGAGCGCTCAACATACTTCCATTATGAAGGATCATGATACACATCACTCTCTTGACCCATTTTACTCTTCTTAGCTCTTCTCTTTGATTTGTACTTCACCGACGGTGGACACATAGAAGTTGTGGATGAATGTGCTAGTTCCCGAATCTTTTTCTTCAACATCCTCTGGCCTACAATATCCAAAATACTAAAATATGTCTTCAACTCTTCACATTCTACTTCTAAATCCAACAGTGTACCACTTTCTTTATGACTGATCTCATGTTCTTCGATGTGTAATTTCTTCTAAAATACATGAATTGATTCTAAAGGAACATGACTGCCTTGTATTGTCCAATATGTCATGACCACCTAAATCTTTAGATAGTTTATGATTGTGCAATCCGCACATAACATTCACCTTCCAACTAGGGATGTCAGTTTGGACCTGTTAATGGGGATCCCCGCGGGGAACGCCCCGTTCGGGGCTCCAAAGATGGGGAATTTTCCCCCGTGGGGGCGGGGATGGGGAGAAAAATTCCCCCGAGAGCATTTCGGGGACGGGGACAGGAATACACCCCCCGCCCCGCGGGGACCCCGCTCCGCCTATTATTTTAATATAGTTAATTTAATATATATATTTTGGATTAGGTTTTTTAGTCATTTCCTTTATGTTTATTTATAAAAATAAATAAATAAATATTCATGTATTTATTAAGAGAGAGAAATGTAAATATTAGAATTTTTTAATAACATAATAAATATGTGAATATGAATTCTTTGTGCTTTTTATTTTTATAGAAAATATAAACATTTTAAAAAAATAAAATATTAATGAATAAATGTAGGATCTATGGGGATCTCCGCGGGGAACGGGGATGAGGATAGAAATTCCCCCGTGACGGAGATCGGGGACGGGGACGGGGAATGAATTTGATGGCGGAGAAAAAGATGGGGAAGTGTCCCCCCGGCCCCGCTCCGCCCCATTGACATCCCTACTTCCAACTGCTACCACTTGAAACAAATCTTAGTTTAAAAGGACATTTAACTTTCATACTATAAATGTCTTATT